GAGTGGAATGGATTTGTAATTTGGCCTTATCAGAAGATGTCACAGCCTTAGAGCTATGACTGTAGATATGTGTTAATAGTTCCTCGGTGCACTGCCGTGCGACCCCGATAAATCCTTGCTGATCTTTCGTCCGTCATGTGATGGACTTCATCAGAGCAGGACACCATTCTTTACGATAATTCACCAAAACACGACAACAAGATAGGTGGCCGGCTGCATTCCCCCCTACTTTTTATGGCCTTGTTAGGTAAACTTTGTGGGAAATCTCATTATTTGCCTGAAGATCCATCATCAATTTATTAAAGTATGTTTCGAAAAACACTTTTTATACGGTTTTCAAGACTGTTGCTACTGTTATCTAAGGACATCGTTATATCGCATTCGCTTTACAGCATTAACGCTTCGATTTAGCTATTGTCCGACTTATTTTTGTTTTGCTCATGTATATTGCTTAGGAGTGAACTTTTCATCTCTTCATAATAGCTAATTGATATCCCTGCCACTTTTTGATCTGACCACTACCTTTTCATTTCCTTGTATTTGATAGTCTATTTTTACCTAGATATTTGGGTGTAAAAAAGAGTTACAATAGCAATCACTTCATATCTTTCCGTTTGTGTACATTATCCAATTATCCCTTAGGCCTTCTATATCTGCTGGCCTCTTCGCTCTCCTCCTCAATGACTGAATCCAAAGGGTCAGACCGTTCTGCCACAGGTAGCTGCCCTCCGGCATTCTCCGCTCCGAATCTTGGTTTACAAGGCCTCGAATCCGAGTCTGCTCAGGCTCGAACCGAGATCAGCCCTAGGATTACCGAGGAGTACGAACGGGAGGAGGTAGATGATCAGGAGGGCGTTAGCTTCTTTCAGCAACCGCCTGCTGCACCTGGCATTTCGACTGGACTCTTGCACACTGATCAAGCAGTCACCAGTCTGGCTTGGCTTATTGGGGAGGCACTTTCTCACGGAGGTGGGTCGGACCGCCTATTACCTTGGCGACCACTAGAAACACCAAGCCCGATGCGGTTGTGGACCGACGGTGACCACCTTGATGATGCTATGTCCGAGGACGAGGAGGAGGGAACGCGAAAATTGAATAGAGTGGAGGCAGATCGTAGTTTGACTGAGGGAAAGGCTGCACATGCATTCCAGGCCGTTTGGGTAGATAATTTCTTTTTAATGAGCTACTTTAAAAAGCGCTTTATTTGGTTGACCTTATTCATAAGTGAGTAGATTTTCGAGACTGCCAGTAAATACACTCATATGATTGACCTTATATTATACTATATTGATTAGCCTAGGCTCCTTAAGTTCTCTGGTTAAATTAAAGGTTGACTGATATGATCAAGTAACTTTCTATTAGTTTTGTTCCAGCAACGCAAATTGCGCCTGCTCGTTATCGTTGTTAATTATCCTCTTTCTTAGGCCAGCTTATCAATGTTGTGCTGGGCCGAACCCAAATTTTTTAATTACACCTTGCCCCCAATCTGCTGGCTCTACGAATAATGACGCATATAGGTAATTCTCGTCCAACAGGACTTACTTGATACTAGTAAATCGGTGATGATGAGCCACATAGGTCGTGACTCGCTGTTTATGCCGAGTAACTAATTAGCTAGACTCTAGGCCAGGCAACAACTGGCTCATTGAAAGGTGAAATACGGAAAATACGATATTTATTTTAAGCCTATTTATTGACGCGAAAAAGGTAAATTAATTTAATTTAATACTTTAATAATGTATCGATTAGGGAACAGCCAATTGCTAAAATTGTGAATATTTTTGTTTCGGGATATTCACATTTGGATATTTGACCTTTCATAAGGTCTTGCTCTCTGCAGCAAGTAATGTTACAATAAACGTACTCAACTTGGTGCTTAGTTCGATGCAGAAACGATGTCGTTTATCCCTATAAGAAGACTAGTTTTTAATTTATGAAATAAGATTTCGGTTTTTACTATTTTGAGCGATGTGAATAGATGGAAATGAATATGAATATGTATGACCTAGAGGGATCCTTTAGCATTGTTGGCCGACTGGATTGGCTTCATACACTACTTTTCATAGTTGTTTTTTGATGCCGATACCGCTCCCTATTTAAAATGAAACTTTCTATATCGACGAGACTTTTGTGAGCGAACCTGTTTATTGTTCCGATTCCTTAGGAATACATTATTACGACCACAGCAATAGCGGCGAGGGCTACGTTCCTTTATGGCTAGGAGGTGGTAAACTCTGTTCAAACCAACTAGATACTTTTCCTTATTTTATCAAATTTCAGCCCTTACTAATAATTACTTCAGAACTAGTGTCTTCTGAAACATAACCATACTTTGAAAAAGTGGAGTTAAACAGGATCCCATAATTAAACTCCGTGTATGTTAATATAACTTTTCAGTGGAGGTAAAATATGTAGCCCTTAGGAATAAATTGATCAATATAATGGTTGATTCTTTGCCTTACCTTTTACCTATTTTGATCTCTAGATATTGATCCCAAGTTTACTCTAAAGTTTGCTTTGTCCTGTTTATCCGAATATTACATTACATACACACCACATCGAAACTTACAAGCAAATCGCCTGCTCATCTGATAACTTTATGAAGCCGTAAGAGTTCCTTATTAAAAACTTCTTAGTATTGCAGATTTGCTTTAACTGAGTAAAAATGAATCATAATGTTTTATGCATCACGCTACCCCTATTATTTACC